TCAACTGAGAAAGACACTCATGTCAACCTCTGAGCTACACATACATGCACTTGCATGAATGTACATGAGTACACACACATACACACAAATACACACATGATCCAGAGGACCCATCAGAGACTGCGCCATACTTCCACCATCATAATCAGAGTTCTGCATGTCCAGGCTTCTCAACTTAGTCCCATTATGCATAAAGCTGCCAGGGGTCTTCCAACTTATCCTGTGGCATGTGTGCAGCCATTAATTCCCTCAAAAAGGCTTCTAGTAATACATACGCTGACTACAAGGTCTGCAGAACATGGAGGCTTCTGAACCATGACTCACAGTTTGCAAGTAATTATCCAGGAACAGGGAGCTGAAGAAGAATCAAAACAAGAAAAGCCAACAGCCCAAGGAGAACTAGACCCCACACTACCAGAGTGGAGTTCCTTGATGGAGACCTCAAATGCCAGAACTAGACAGGAAGTGGGGAATGCCACCCGGTCCCGCTGTGTGTGTGTGCTGATGCTGTGAGAGAGGCCGTGAGGAAGGTGGAAGGTGACAGGATCTTTCCAGAACACCCCTATGATTTGTTTATGACGAGCCCTGCACAGGATCCAGGAACGGCGCTTCTCACTTCTATGCCCCACCCTGAAGCAGAGCAGAGGTGGGAGAAGGCTGGTGGAAGCCAGGCAGCCCATGGTGGCACCACACAGGGACGGTAGCGGCAGTAACCTGCAGGAACTCCTAGGGAATGCCAGGTCTGACCCGAGGGGCACACCGGATGCATGTCACAGAATGAGCAGGGAGGGGGGCCGTGTGGCCACTGTGGCCCCACAAGGGCTGCCTGCTCCATGCGCACAGAAGGCAGCTTATTAGCATCCTTTCCAGATGCAATCTCCAGGGTTCCTGAAAGATAGAAAGTGTTCTCCACATGGCAGGAAGTAGCCGACAGCACACATGGAGGAGGAGACGGGTGAAATACCATTCCAGGGCCTGTTCTGCAAAGATGGCTCTGCAGCGTCTGCATGGGACCTCCACACCTGCCTTTCCTCATCACCCAGAGGCAGGTGTGCCATAGAGCACTCTCGGCTTCGATGAGGTAAATAATGGGGGCATTAGTGAAACTTATGGTTTTACGTTGAAGCTGCGACAGGCACATGAAGGAGATGTGATAGCAGAACCTCTTCTTTTCCAACTTTCTTCACACAAAACAAGATTCATTCCACAGATCTGGGCTAGGACTCCACAGCCAATCTCACTGTGTTCTCCCAGTAGATGGCACTAACTCATTTTAAATTAGAGGCCCCTGGAAACTCAAGCTGGAGTCAGAACTAGGGCAGAGCCAATCATGGGAGAGGACAGAAGCAGCAGAAATGGCGTCAACAACCATCTGTCTTCAAGTAACACAGGGGAAGCTCAAGCCTTCCTGCATGGTGCCCCGTATCCCTGAAGGCCAGGTTTGCTTTCAACATCACCTGCTGCCTTCCACACATACTGTCTGGCTGGGGCTGACTACTTGGGAGCCATAGGTACGGTGTCATATCCTAAAGTGGCCACAAGATGGCGCTGCTGCACTCGGGAGAAGCGGTTTAAGAATAACGGAGTCTTACAAAGCAATGTGAAGACTGTTTGGTAATTAATCTTGCAAGTCTTTCTCAAATTCATGATTATATTTCCGCTGTGCTTCTTTCTGCTGCTACTGGTCGGTTATATATATATATATATAAAATGTGTATATATATATATGCATATAAAGGGTTTATATATATATATATAAAGGGTTTCTGAGCACCAGGCAGTGTGCTAGGCATGAAGGAATTAATGAAGTATGGCTTCATTCAATGTTTATTTCTGGAGAAGCTCTGCGATGTCTCTAAGAAAATGTGTCATGGGGCAACTAGAGACTGGGACCTCTTGTACTTTCTCAAAAGGACTAACAGCGATCCAGTTCTGGCTGTATCCACAATAGTGAATAGGACAGCTTATCTGCCTAGGAGGCTAACAGTTCCTTTCCCCATTCAGCAAGTGTTTGGGAACCTACTTTGTGTCAGATGCTGGTCAAAATGCTAAGAAGAGGGGAGTAACGAATCAGAGAAAGCCCTGCTGCTAGTTCCGAGACCACAGCAAACACCAGATCAGAGCAAATGGTGGAAGGGGTGAAGAGTACAGGGAAGAAAGGGGCACTTGAAAAGCCCATGGCAAGCAAAGGGCTCCTTAGACACAACAGTTAAAGCCTCAGGGATGGACAGCAGTGAGCTAGCTCTTAAATGCATCTGTTATGAAAGTTAAGCTCAGACAGGAGAGGTAATTCACACCTGGAATCTCAGAACACTGAGGCAGGAGGATTATGGAAAATTTGGGGTTACTCTGTGCTATAGAGTGAGACCCTTCCTTTAAAACAAACAAAAATACAAGGAAGAGAGGGAGAAGGAAATGGAGAAGAGATATACAGTTAATTACATTCACAACTAAAACAACCTCTAGGAACTCAACCCTTCCTAATTACATATCTATTTTACCACAACTATAACAGCAGTGGGAAGATTTTTTGTGCAAGTAGCCAGAGAGTAAATGTTTTAGGCTGTGCAAGGCCTTAAGTTGTCTGTCACAGCTCTACAACTCTGCTGTTGCTAGACAAGTGGGCGTGACTGTGTTCCACTAAAATGTCACTTGGGAAAACAGTATTGAGTTAGGCTTGGTCCTCAAGCAGTGTGCAGAGCCCGGGCCTGGACTCTAGCTCTGCACTTTTGTGAAGAATCTTTCTCTGCCTCTCTTTCCAGTTCCATCTGCTGAGCTGGCACTTTGACAGCTTGCAATACCCATGCTATGGACGTTTATGCAACAAAACAAGCAAAGGGAACCATCTGGGTTATTCCTCATGTCCCCCATACTCTACCTTCAGGCTTCCCATCCTTCCAGCCCCTAGCCACTGCCTTTCAGACCTCTCGTAATGCTCCTCTGAGGAGACTCCCGAGACTTACTGTAGCAGTGTTTGTCCACAATACAATGCTTCCTACAGTATAATCTCACCACATGACAATCCTGAGCAGGCTTGACCTCCTGAAGCCAGCAGAACACAGAGCTGAGAAGCGAGATGTGGGTACAGGGTGGAGGCCTGACTGCATTTATTCCATGGGCTGCTAAGAACACCTAGCCACCGAGAAAAGCACACCAGAGCGGCATAACTTCTTCAATAGTGGTATTGTCAACGTGAACTCCTTACAGATTTTTGTTGTGCTTTGTGATATGAGAGGCCCTGGCTAAGAGAAACTACCCAGTTTCTATAGTATCCAAGTCAGTCTTCACTACCCATCAGACCCCAGAAACAACCCTTTTCATCAGTATTGTGTACTGTAAAGTCACCACTGGTGACCCACCTAGAACCCACCCAGACCTGCTGTTTACCAACAGATGAAAACAGGCAGGAGATTCTTCCAGACTGTCCTTCCCAGGGACTCCTTCCCCAGTCACCCTGATGGGCTACTCTTTTGAATGACATCTGAGACATCTGGAGTTCACACACACACTTTGGAATGTTTCCTAAACAAAATATGCTGTATCTTCATGGCACACATATTGGTACTCTAAAAAATATCTTTTAACCTTTATTTTTATGTGTATGGCTGTTTTGCCTGCATGTATGGCTGTGCATCAGGTTGTATCCAGTGCCTGTGGAGGTCAGAAAAGGGTGTCAGATCAACTACGGTTGTAGATGGCTGTGAGCCATTAAGTGGGTGCTGAAAATAGTCCTACGGAAAAGCAACCAGTGCTCTTAACCATTGAGCCATCTCTCTGGCCCCATATCAGCATTCTTAACTCAAGTGTTCTTCCATCCTGCTTCTAAACTGTCTCTCCTATATCCAACACTATGTCCAGGGATCTTTCTTGAAAGGTTGGGCCAGTACATTTTCCATAAAAGTTTCTGCCTTCCCCTTGGAACTTACATCCGCAGTCCTATCTTCCACCAGAGCAGAAGGTTCGCATTAGGAATGATGTGTGGATTGCTTACCTTGGAAAATTCTGTCCATATGTGGTTCCTACTTGGTGGCACACTGGCCTAGTGGAAAGAGCCCTGACAAATACCCACCTCTGGGCCACCTTCAGACAATCCCATGGGCCTTTGTACAGCATGAGTACCATGAGAAAAAAAAAAAAAAAAAAAAAAAAAAAAAAAAAAAAAAAACCTGTATAGACCAGAGCTCCTGCCAGAGTGAAGAACTCCGGGCAGTGCATCCCAGCTTTCAGATTGTGTCAGGGAGTCCGGCAGAGGCCAAGGGTGGGACCAGAGTTCCTTTGGCTAGGTCAGCTCTCCTCAACAAAGACTGGTTTTCATTTGACTGTCCAGATAGACAGATGGGCAAAGCATATACTATCCCTGTCACCTCAATCTGCCCAAACACAAGAATGGGGTCTATGAAAATGTATGACAACCTTTGAGTCAAACAAGAAAAAGTACAGCTGCAAAATAGCCCATGTTGTTATCGGCATGTGCATTCAGCTGTGGGTTTTCTGAACAGAAACCTTGGCACACTAGGTAGCAATATAACTCATTCTAGCCTCCCTTCCTGTATGCACTAAGTGTCTTGGCCTCCAGGGAAGGACTTTGTCATCTATTTTGTTACCTAAAAGAAGCCTGGAGTAAAACTTCAGTCTCTAAAATGTCATGTGATCATTCCCTGGGCATTTCCAGGAAGCAGCCACATCCTTTCAAGCCAAGCATAGCCCTCTGTAGTGAACAGCTCTGGGCCACATCTGCACATGGAATGGCAGCTCAGGAGGAGCAACCTGTGGTTGCAGGCTTGGAGGCTGGCGGCAATGAGCCACATCCAGCACCAGAGCCCAGAGCCTAACTACACCTGAAATGCTCCCTGGATACAGTGTGGGCCAGGACGCTTGAAGACAACTGTGGAGAGCATTTCCCAGGAGATTCTTGCCTTAAGCATTTGAGAAGTTGTAAAGAACTAATTTGTATGTTCCTCTAACCCCAAGACCCTTCCCCTAAAGAAATCAAGGAAAAAGAAGCATAAAATTCATTTTAATGATACAGAAATAGTACATGGTACATTTCTTTCCACAGCAGCACTCCATTCATTTCTAGGTTTAACAAAATTAAGGCTAAATTGGAGCATTCTGATAGAAAAGGATTGTTTTATGTGATGTTATTCATTTTCTCATAAGCAAAAGGATGTTCTTTGGGAAAAAAGAAAAAAAAAAAAAAAACAGTTGAAACAGATACCAGAAAAGGAAATGGGATACAAATTGTGTTCCTTTGGGTCAGACTGCTAATAACCACCCCCTAAGAGAGGGCCAGTGGGATTTTTTTTAAATGAATATTTCTGGTATGAGGGCAATTCTCCAGAGTTAGCATTCCACAGTATAAGGCTGTTTCATAACATGAGACCAAAGACAGTTGTGTCTCCAGTATAATCCCCTTAGAATAAATAACTAATGAAAGTCAACAATATTTAAAAGTACACTGTGCTAAGGCCGGTGGTGCCTGGAAGGATAACCCCTGCACTAACAGCCCTTTTCCCTCAAATCTGTTAGGAAGAAAATGAAACTAAAACATGAAGAAACAAAATGGTCAGCACTACCAGACAGAGGCCAGGACCCTGTGGTGCTCCTGAATACACTCACTGCTACTTAAGGCCACCAGAAGGGGTTTACCCCCACCCACCCCGCTTTCCCAGTGTGCACTACTCCTGGCCAGCTCCCTACTCACCTTCTGTTGCCACATTTGGACTCAAGGGAAACCCTTTAGCAACTCTAGAATTCATGAGACAAAGCATATGTCCACTGATGCTACCACCCAGTGCCCCACCCAATAAGACAACAGAAGCTCACTCAGAAGCAAGATTAATTCCCTGACAGGAAGCCGTACTTTCATGCCTTTGACAAGAGTGCAATGCCCAAAGCCACAGAAGCTTGCATTCATGTGAGGCCTATCCTCAGCTCCGACAGGCAGCTCCTGCCTCCTCCAACCCTTTCTGCTCACTAGTTCCCACTGTAACATCTTCTTCTCCACCACCCAGCTGCATTATGGAACTAAGGAGTTATTTCACTGAGGAAGAATTGGAGATGGCGTGGGAATCACCAAGCCCAAGGAAAGCGGCCTTGTTTTTCCGCTTGTTTGTTTTTTAATGACAGGCCTTATAACCTACCTTCTCTTAGAAGGATATCCTATTTATGACATGACGGCCTGTTACGTGGGGGTGGGGAGGCAAAATCTTCCCATGAGTTTAAATGTTTTCATTAAAAGTAGTAGAGAGAAATTAATTCAGTGATTTTTTTCCCCTTCAACATGAAAATAAATTTTTATCTATTCCTTTGGCTCCCAGTTTCTATTTCTATAGAAACAGGATAAAGGGAAACAGCCAAGTAAGTACCATCAAATATCCTCTAAGATTTATGTGTATTCCAAAGACTACCAATCCCTCTAGGAATAGAGGGTGTAGGTACACATACCAAATGCACTTCTTATAGAAGTTCACATGTAAACAGAGATAAACACATAAACAATGCCCACTTCTTCACACTTATATAGAATAACTGCTAAGGATACTAGCATTGTTTGATCCCACAGTAACAGAAGGAAAAGGGATCTTTGAAACCTTCCAACCTTATGATTCCATACCCACTGGCCACTGGTTTCTGTTGATGAGCTTCTGAGTTTGAAACTTCCTACCTTCAACAGGATATCAGATCGAGGCATGTCCTGAACATTGACAATTTGTACTGCTTCCCCCTATCCAACTCCACAGTCTGAACCCTTCATTACACAGAGCAAAACACTCAAGCTCAGGAAGTCAAGATATTGTTTGGGCACAGAGCAAGTGATGGAGAAAGGACCTAGGGTTTTTGTTCTTTTTTTCTTTACTTCTCCCTGTTGTTCTACGACATCTCCCAAAGTGGTCCCCACAAAGGCCTGTCACCCACACCCAGGCTAAGATGCTATCAATGGGTACTCTGGTGTTGAAATTGGGCAGGATGCTGTAGAAGAGCAGGCACCCGCTCTCATAGGGTCTATGCCATATATTAGCCACCTAATAAATATCCAGTAAATACTTGTTGGCAGTTACTCATGAAGGCCAAACATTGTATTTTGCACAGCCTTCTCGGTGTAGGATACTTCAAACAGACACAAGATTATCTAGCTGCTTACTAAACTCCAACTGGGGGTGGGGTTGCTACTCCTAGATTTATGAAAATTCCACATTCAGACCACCAGAGAATTGACAAGCTCCTAACAGTCAATCCTTTGTCCTCATTTGTGCTCAAGAGGGTATGCAGAGAAAAAGATATGAGTCTGAGGGAAGATGAGCCTTGCCATTTACCTAAGCATTTGGCAAACGTAATAAAAACTCTAAGCTACTTGGAGGATGCAATGCATAGCAACTTCCAACAGCTGCACTATACAGATACCCATTTCTGTTTTTCAATATATTTCCCCCATCTTAGGAAACACTGCTTTGTGGATTGGGCTAGACTCTCTATGAAGCTGGCAGTGAGGGGCTGGACATTTAGCTTATGTATTAAAAGTATTCCTGGCTCCCTTCCCTCTCTCTCTGCCTATCCCCCTGGCTCTTCATACATATATACAGATTTGCTTCAAGGTAGAAAAATATAAATTCTTATATTTTCTATTTGTAGCCATGGATCATAAACCATATTGTAAGTAAGATGATCCTACTACACTGTCATCTTGATAAGAAAAAAGGATAATCAAAGCATTTTCAAAGGCAATGGGAAAACAGTACAAAAAAAAAAAAAAACCTGATTAAAAATTAGGTTAACCCATAGGCACACAAGCTATCTGCATTACACAGTCTAGCCCTATTGCCTCGGTGGCAAACCAGGCTCTGTGGGGACAGAGAATGAGGAAGGAGGACCCAGAGGGAAAAGAAGGCATGGGGGGAAAGCTCCTGCTGGCCTGTGGTCCTCGGGCCTCCCCAGCCACTGAAAGTGGGCCCTTCACTGTGTGCCCCACCTACCCACTACTGCTAAAGAACACTGAGTGCGACTTCAAGAAAAATCTTCCTAGGGTTTGCCTGTAGACATGGTCCTACTCGCTCACAAAGTGCCACCCCAACTTGGGACCCACTGCCAAACAAGCATTGAGTCCTTTGCTCAGAAAGCCAAGTAGCTGGTCTCTTACCACATGGATTTTGCCTCCATTTCTACAATTAAAAAAAAAAAAAGTTTTCCCTCACCCCCTTTTACTGTTAAACCTGGCTTGCCTATATATACAGATTCCTGATCATTCCACAGTTAAACTTTACAAAGTCACACTAACGGACTCATTCAATACATACTTATTATAGGGTGACTGACTCTGGGTGGTCAGAGCCTGCGAGCTCAGCCCCTGTGCTCATCATTCTCACCTGCCCCTAGGTGAAGGAAGGCCAGCCCATAGCTGGAGGTCTTCATTCCAAACTAGTTGTGGCACTCAGTGTAGGCATTCAGCTATACAAAAGTCTGTGCAGAATATACGTACTTTTCCATTACAAAAGTACAAAGATTACAAGATGGAAGAGCTTTTGTGCCTTGTGATTTATAAAGCTAATACATGCTAGCAAAATAGAATAATAAAACCAAGAAGGAAAGTGCCTTTAAAAATAACAGCAAGATTTATAAAACTCTTTTGACATTAAATATTTTATAAAGGCATATGCTACACATACAATACCTTTTCTGTCTTTCTGTGAGGTTGACATTATTCCAGAAAGACAGCCATACCACAAAACATGCAGACAACAAACACTCTAGAGTGTCCACCAATGGCCTATACACACACTACGAGCTGTCCTAAGGCAACATCCATTATTTCCTTCTTCAATCAGGAGGATGAAGCTGTCACTAACATTCCAGTAACACACTGATATGGCTGTTCCTGTTTCAAGTCAAACAAAACTGCTATCAGTGAGTTTAAGACTCTCTGATTAAACAAAACCACAGTCTTACTTAAATTAAGAGAAGTTCATGTAAACTAAAAATAAAATAATTTATTTGAAATGAGAATTTTAAATATCTATTACATCTTTTCATGGAAATGTTAGTACTGTCTCTAAGCAAACTTTATTTTCTCTGGACTCTGTATCTGTACAAGAATATATTATTTATCACTCTTGTCATTTCATAAATCAGTGCACTTTGTTCCATACTTACAAGTCCCTACAGAAAAACCTGTTTATGACTGAGATGCTTCAATTGTCTTGTACCCTAATCCTCCAAGAAGACATCAAAAATGGACATTTTATGACAGAGCCTCTCGTTTATCTTAAAACCAGAATAGAAAATAACACCACAAAAGGAATTTCAACATGTTCTGACCACTGCTGCAGGAACACAGAAACTTGGCAAAGTACAGACATGCAGGAAATCAGCATTATGTAGGAAAAATTAACAATTAAAGTCAGCACACCTTCAACAACTGGAGTAAAGGTCGACTCTTAATAAAACCATATTATTTTCCCTCAAGGCAATCATTAGCTACAAAAGAAAAATTATTTCATATCCTTGGTCCATAAGAAGAAATATTTATTTACATCCTCATTGGACTAAAAGAGGTTTTAAACGTCACAATTAAAATTGTATGCTTCCAAAAATATCATATCAATGCAGTTAACTTAAAATTTCAGGTATTAATAACTTCATTAAGACTTCTTAAAAAACCAACACAAACATACTTCCTAGAGTGCAAAATGCTTCTTATTAAATACTTCAGGAACACAAAAGCAATTTGTTTGGAAACACAGCAATCCTTTGCTGAAGGCCCATCATCACAAAAGACACCCACTGCCGGCAATGGGCGCCTGTAGAACCACCAGCTGGAGGAAAATGGAGCGTTAAGCTTTGTGCTCCATCTCTGCCAGTTTCAGATGACCTGGTTATTTGTACAAGCTCATGGTTGGACTCTGGTACATGCACATGTATGCATCGCAGAGAAGTCTGCGTGCACAGCCTTGAATTCTTCTGGAGTCCAAAGAGTGTAGATCCTCCAGAGACATCTTCAAGTACTCTCCCACTTCCGGGCAGGGCGTCACCTGTGGAATGTTGAAGCCATTCTGACCACCTGCAGAGAAAGAAGAGCTCTTTTTAGGGAAGGGAACTTCCAAGTCCTCTTAGCACCCTGTCCTACCACAACAATTTTGCTATCCTAGAACTTAATGAAGACCAACACTCAGAATCAGAAAATAAACAAACTTTGGTTTGACTTTTAATTCCTAGAATTATAGTCTCTTTGGCTTCGAGAGGGTTCTGAAGGCAAAAATGAATAAAATTGGTGAAAGGACGTATATTTAGGAAAGGCCTGATTTGCAGGCTGCTACCCATGTGTGCACACACAGCCTTGACGCCTCACACTTGCATGTCCCTCCCAGACAGTAGCAGCCTGACATTTCCCAAATGTCATGATGTTAGGTTAACTGAGTGAAGCACATGGTCAGGAGGGGTGAGCTGTACCCTCAAGCACCTGAGAGCTAAGGAAACATGGAGAACTGCTGGTCTACAACTTGTGCCTCTGGTCTAGTGGTACCTCTGGGGTGTGTGTGTGTGTGTGTGTGTGTGTGTACTGTGGCAAGTTCCTTATTACCAAAACCTCTTGAGATCCTGGACTAGTGTGTATTAAGTAATGACTAAGCTTCCTAAATTAATTTATTGGGTAAAGATTTCTTCCTGAAAAGGAATGCGTGAGATCAGGAACACTGAGTTAAATACACACCATGTAACATTCAACACTTTAAACCTTAGCTTAGACAACAGAGAAACAGGCACGATTTCTATACCAAAGTATTCCCACAGAGGTTGGCATACAGATGCTCAATAAATGGCTACTACAGTGTATACAAAAATAAAAGGAAGTAGTTGGTAGAATCAGCTTCAAAAGAAGAATTTTAGAATTTTTTTTTCTTTGAGATAGGGTAAATTGAAACAGGTTCTCATTATGTAACACAAACTGGCTTTAATTCAATATCCTCCACCTCCCAAGTAAAGATTATGGACAGCATTCTTTTAAAAAATCTGTCTGAGTGCCAAGATGTCACAATATTATCGTTTCTTAGTTTGGGTAGAATTATTAATACACTTTGAATATTAAATTCTGTAACAGCATGATATCCCTCAAAGGATTTTTCTCACAAAATACTTTATTACTCCAAACAAGTGCTCTCACTAGGAAGCATCACACCCCAAATAAAGGATACTGAGTACAAAAGAAAAATTTTAAATACCATCTCTATCAGCCATACTGTCAAAGAACAGCCAGGCAGAGTCATCCTTCCCATACTTCACAAAAGCAACGTAGTGGCTCGTTTCTATGCAGAGAACAGCAAATAACTCCATCTTCTGACAGGGGATGCAGCCATGTCTCCAGTCCCAGTCAGGCAAGTCTTTGGGAAGTGATACTGGGTGATAAGTATGATTCAACCTCCTCGGATGAAGGTGAACCTAAAATGGACCATGAAGCAAATGACACGCATGAGCTAATGCCATGTTTCAAGGGAGCAAACGCTTAACCACTTTTAATGACCACATCTCTTATAAACACAACCAAGTACTACACACACACACACACACACACACACACACACACACACACACACACCAGCAGAAGAGACATGAGCAATAACATTCATTGCGAATGTTTAAAGTGAACTTCAATTCTGAAAGGCTTTCAAGCCCTGAAATGCTCTGGACCATCTGTGAGAACCTGACTGCTACAGGGCACATCCAGCAGGTGAGTGCGGATTACCTGAGTGCTGCAGGTCTTACAGAACTGCTTGATCTTCCCTGCTGAGATGTCAGGGTCATCATAGCACTCTCTACACTCATACATCGCAAGTCCTCCACAGATGCGGCACTGCCTGGGAGCTACCATATGCAGAGAGGGAGGGAGGAAGGAAGAAGTCTTTTAAAAGGCATTCTAAGGTAGTCTGTCTTTAAGAATAAAAGCTATATTTTCAAAAGAAGAATGCTCAGGTGAAAAAAGAAAAGGCCTAACTAGCCCTCTCTGATCCTCTTAAAATCTCATTTAGTTTTTCTTGTAGTTGTAATATTCTAAAGGATTTTTTTTTCAAATAACCATTTTTGATAGCCTATTCTAGGATTGTTCCTCTGATTATAAAATGTCTAAAGATACAAAGAAAGCTGATAGTACATATGATCTTAGTCAGCAAGAGACAACCACTGCCAATCTTTTAAACTTTCTCTAATATTTTGGTGTCTAAACATTTACATAACTGTGTGTGCCCGGCACGTACGTGTATGTCAAGCATCTCTCAGCCAGCCTCTCACTGCACTTTCCTTCTACTCACTACTACCTTCATGTGCGTTGTCCTCAAGCCCCTGGGTTTTAACTGCAGTCGTTCTATTGTTATAGACATATAATCCAATTAGCCTCTTCCCTCTTACTTACGTTTACTTGCCTCTAATTTCTTATCATATGGTGATAAGTAATTTTGCATTTAAAGTGTTTTTTTTTTTTACCTCTACTTTTTTCAGAAAAATTCTCAGTACTCAAATTATTGGCTTAGTATGTCTAAGCTCTTCAGATACTGAACTGCCTTTTAGAAGTGCTATATCTACAACAAATGAAAAGCCCAGGGGGACTATTTCTAAAACAAAACAAAACAAAACAAAAACAAAGGCCTGTATACTTACTGTCTTCAAGTAAATCTGTTATATTTAACTCCAAGGAAGGAAAAATTTTTTTAAATAGTTTAAAGTCTTTTCCAAACCGAGGCATCTGGATAATCAAACATGATGGTGCCTAATAAACAAACAAACAAAGAAATAAGACATACAGTTTTAGAAAGCAAAGTCCTAAGGGGCTGGGGACTCAGCTTAGTATAGTAGCATGCCCAAAGCCTGAGTCTTGTCCCCTGCACAATGGGAGGAAAAGTGCAAAAAACAGGTTTCCTGTGAAGATGAAATAGTCACGGCTGTCAAACACAGCAGTGGTTTCAGCACAGTTCTGTTGTCATGAAACAGAGCCTACGTGTAAATGTGCAATGCGGATGCAGAGCAGCAGCAAGCTTCAGAATTTCCAGACTTCCCTGTCAGACATCCTCATAGAGGATGCTCCCGAAACATCAGCAATGGAGTAAGGAAACCACTACTCCACCAGAGATGAACATGACAGAAACAGGCCGCAGCATGCACCACAGAAACCACACATTCAGGTTAAAGACTTTTCTATCACATTCATTAACAAACCCATACAGAAGAACCTACTGGCACTTTATCTTAACCAAAAGGAGAAAAGCAACAGTACCTTTGACATGTTTAAATAATATGCTTGGGTAAAACGACACCTAAAAATATAAACATGTATGTATATATACATATCTTTAGCATTAAGCTACTTTAAAGCTTTTCAAGTGAAAATTAGCTTTTTTCCTCCCTTTCCACACAAATCCAAAACATTCCAACTTAAGCTAAAGTGCTTTCATAAAAAAGAACAAAGTTGAAATACCATTTTTCTTAAATGTGTGTTCTTAACACTGTGTGTTTTGAACTGTTCTTGGTTAAAGCACAGTGACAGCTCGGTGTAGTTCAGTGGGCAGCACTCAGGATAGTGTATAAAAAAGTCCGACTTTAATCTCCAGCACTGCTAAGAAGCAAAATAAAGTAACAATAAAACTCAGAATCACTAACCTCTGCAAATTTCAGGTTGCTGTTGATAAAAGACCATTCTAGTAACTGCTGAATTGTAGGAACTCCAACTTTCTCATTTTTTTCCATAAAAATTTGATAGAAGTTACAGTCTTGAACTTTTTGACCTGCTGACCTAGGAACATGCAGAAAGAAATATACATAAGCTATCTCTTAAATGCTTAATTCAGAATACTAAGCCATCTGGCAGGACCTGAGAACACGATACCATGATGCTGATGTACAGCTCTGGACCATCCAAAGGCCAGGTGGGCAAAAGACAATGATTTGGATGAGATAATTAAATGCACTTATGTAGAAAACCTCATAAAATATTTTTCTGCCTTATTCATAAATTATTCACAAGTTCTCTTTGTGATCACAAGAAAAATGTAGAATGATATCCCAAAGAAATACTATGTAAACAATAATCAGTTGGATTTCTCCCTCCAAATCTAGAAAGAAGCAAGCTGCTTTTTGTAGTGAGAGTTTTTTGTTTCTTTAAAGATCCAGTTATTAGTTATGTGAATGTTTATTTCAATCGCAGGTGTGGGATATGGTGCTCCTTCAGTTTGTCCACAGCCATTAACTGTGGTTTGTCCTGTGCTCTAGAGGGGCATGGGTTTTTGCCAGCTGTAGACAATTTAATTCTGGGGACTCTAGAGAAGGTATAAATGGGAGAGCCCTGAGAGGGACTGAGGAGGCTGTTGTTCCCCCTGCAGCTCCTGGTTGCTGTTGTTACAGTTTGATGGAAAAAATAAATAAATAATCTCACTGCTAGAGTTTTAGAAGTCTGAAAACCTACAGAATCACAACAAAGTTGTGAAACTGTACCAAACCATGCTAGTTGGGTTGTACTCTCCACTAGGGACAACCTAAGAGTACAAGAATACAAACTTAGTAATTTTTTAATGGACATCTACATTTTACAAATATTAATATGGGAACACTTGTGAATTGGCATGGTCTGGATCTGTCTTTGTGGTGGAGACCATAATAGGTGGGTCCTGAAGTCCTGTACTCATTCATCTAAGAACACCCAAATCCTGCAACTCCATGGTGAGCATGTGGGGTTTGTGATGTTATCACCAGTGCTACAAGGAGCTTGGAGAGCCCTGCCTTATGTTCATATTACTAATGTCAGTCTTGCTTTGGTCTGACCTTTTCTTGCTCTACCCCAACTCCTACCTTTGGAAATGAGAAACTTCCCCTATACCACTGTAAGTTGGAAGAATAAAACTTGTTTACTGATTTTTCAGGGGCTCATAGTTAAAAAGACTCTACATTTAAACACTGTTTGAACAGTATTGAAATAGCTAAAGATGAAGACTCTGACCTTCAAATGAATGTATTCTGTATTAAAGGTAGTCAAGAGCCTACAGGGACGAGAAGAAGAAAGTAATAGCATTAAAATTGTAACTTGGGGATTGAGAAAGAGCTCAGCCATTAAAACAAACAAACAAAGGCTCACAACCAAAAGCGGTAGGAGATGTCTCAGCACTTCTGACAGCACACTGCTCTTACAGAGGATCATAGCTAAGTTCCCAAAGCCCACAACAGGTGTTTCTGACTGCCTGCAACTCCTGCTTCAGGTGATATGACATCTTCTTACCTCTGTGGGCACTGCACTCACATACACAATTAAAAAATAAAAGCAAAATTATTTTTTAAATAGTATGTTTGGGTATCAGGTTGAGTGGACTTGTGATGCTCATGCTGTCAACTTAACAAGACCTAAAATAACCTGTAAGATAAACCTCTGAGCATGCCTGTAAAGTTTCCAGTTGGACTGAGGTGAGAAGACCCTCCCTAAATGTGGGCAGCACTATTTCATTAGCTTGGGCCCCAGACTGGATAAAAAGGAGAAAGTGATCTGAGCGGCAGCACTCATCTCCACCTGCTTCCTGATTGCAGATGCAGCATGACCCCGGCTACCTCATGCTCCCTGCACTGTCACCTCACCATGGACTACACTCTGGAACTCAGAGCCAGAAGCCCCTCCTTCCTTAAAAAGAGGAAGGGACAAGGAAGGAGATAAAGGAAATGAAAGGGAAAAGAAATAGAAAAGAAAAAGGAAATCTAGACCATGCTTCAGACACAGTGTGAAAATTCCCCAAATTTGCTTCTTAATTATTAATGTCATTTACCTCTTTGCCTGCCTCCAATCACCATCTTTTCTCATTAAATGACTTAATTTTCAATTTATTATCATTAATGCCGCATATGTAATCATCACTGCTCTTTAAATTGTAAAGTTCAACTTACCTAATTTTACCAATTTCTTCACTCTTCCTTCTTACTCCTTTTGTCTAAGTTCTGTCAGTCTTACCTTTCAAGTGTATCTTGTAACATGTTTCTTCTGAGTGATAATTTAGTCCTAGTTCTTTGGGAGTTCTATACATTCTTTTCTTAGAATTAAGTATCAAAATTCTCAAATGTTCATATAACTTGCCTCTGTATGTCTAGCATCACCTTCAGGAACTTAGTTACCATCTACTTTCTATGTACCAACCCCTTTCTGGTTTTCCAACCCACACCTGTCTTCTACTTGGGGTGCTTTCTCAGCTCCATCTTTAGTACACAAATCCCTCCCGTGTCCACTGCCTCAAGTGATCTCCTCCCCACCCACACACACACTCACTACTTTTACATTCTACTTTGTACGCTTATTTGATCTTGTTACTCAAATCTACTTTTATCCTCCACTAGTCTTAGTCTTTCTTGTGTCTATTTTGGACTGTATTTATTTCTCCTTATAAGGGTACTCAACTTCCTATTGGCTCAGTCAGCTGACCTTCCTCATAAAGAGAAAAATGGCACTTGGGGGGACAAAAAGAACTCAAAATATCATCTTACATTCTTTAGGAAGTAGTTGGTAGGGATATGAGCAGGTTGCTTGGAAGCTGGGGGCGGGGGGTGTATTCCTTAAGCCTAAAGAACTGCCCAGATGCCTTTCCCAACTCCAGAAAGGCCTTCACACTCTGAACAGTGCCTGACTCTGCCTTACTTCTGAGAATTACTGCAGTATCCAACTTATATTAACCCTGAGAAGTCCCTGATTTCCTTTAGATATAGCTAGACTAAGAGTAAAAAATTAAAAACAACTATTTTAAGCATCCTCAGTTTATTTCATTAAAAGGTAAAAAAAAAAAAAACAAACAAAACAGGTTATTCCTCTCTGAAGTCCTTCCCTTTCTCAATTCCTTCTCATTTTTTCTTAATAAATTTATGTTTGTTCTGCTTTTTTTTAAAGTTTTTTTTTTTTTAAGAGAGTCTGGGTATGGTGGCACATGCCTTTAATGCCAGCATTCAGGAGGCAGAAGCAGGTGGATCACTGTGAGTTTGAGACCAGCCTGGTCTACATACCATGTTACAGGCTAGACAGGAAAATATTCTAAGTTCCCACCTCAGGGCAAAACAAATAAAACATTTTAAAGATGAAAAATAAAACTGACCTTTTCTTCTAGAACTACCTGCCAGATGTTCTATACCATTTTTTTTCTTTCAATACCACTGAGCTTTCTATTTAAGTCTATTGATAAATCCTTCTAATTATATTCTATTTTAATGTCTTGTTTTGCCTACAGAAACTATAATGTCCCCCCCTTTAAATAAAAGAACCCTATACCTGTGGTAGTCAGGATAGCTGGCCCCACCTCTCACTGGCTACAGCACTCAAGAGAACTAACTCTGTACCTTACGTGGGCAGCACAGTTGACCCTCTTAGAGGGGGGCACAAGTGAGCCAGCCTAAGGGCAAGAGCATGGGAGAGCTGTCCCTGCCACTCATCTGCTGTGGGATGGCAAGGGTGCGGGGGCGATGGCCTCCCCTGCTGCTGGTCACCTGTAGTGGTCAGGAGAGCTGATCCCAAGGGCATGAGATGGGGGAAGAGTTAGCCCTGTCTCCTCACTGGCTGTGGCACTGAGAGCTGACCCTGCCTCTTCCTGCTCTCATGCCCTTGGAGCCAGTTCACCCATGCCTTCATCATCAGGGCAAGCTCCACTGTGTTGCCCAGGGGAGGTACAAGGCTCGGTCTCCCAGTGCCTAGCTCAAACAGTGCTGGAGACTGCCCAGTGGTATGGATAAGGGAGAGCAGGTACCATCCACGATCAGATCCAGGACTCTGAGTTGGCCTGCCCCAAAATCTTATCATCTGTGAATGATTGGGATGAGTGAATGTGCCAGCCCTGCTGATCCAAAGCTGCAGGGTATCCCTGACACAGGGCAACAACTGGATAACAGGGAGTCCTGGTGAGGATCCAATACTGATGGTGTCACAGAAACCAGTGACTATAAGCCAGACCAGTGACTCATTGCAATGAACATATGCAAGTAAAGATGTATGAACAGAGGGATATAATGTAGTGTTCTGTGACATACTATAGCTTCCACAATGAGATGTTTTGTATGCTTTGTTTTGGGTTTTTGTTTGTTTTGTGGTTTTATTTGGGGGGGGGGGTTTACAAGGGCAAAGGGTGTGTACAGAAGAAAGGCAGATGAGTGGGACATGGGTACATGATGTATAAAAAGCTTAAAAAAAAAAAAAGAACTCCAGTATTTTTACCTACTTCATTTTGTAGAAAACTCTAAAATCATTTTAAGTTTCAATAAAAGTGGTTAAGATGCTGTTAATATGAAAATTATTTTGCAAGAAACTAACATCTTTATTTAATCTTTCTCACTAACTAATCAAATCCTCCTTTTATTTCGGTGTAAATCTTTTTTTAAAATCTACTTTTAAAAACTTGATTGCTGCTTATTTTTCTTTCCTGAAACATAAAATATTCCGTTTTCTATATGTTTGAAGAAATACAAAAATGTTACTGACTTTTCCATGATTACTTTTGACATGGCTAATTCTTTTGTTAATCCTTTATAGCTATTTCTCTACAATTTTCTACGTACATGAAAAGCTATCATCAACTTTGAGTTGCTAATGAGTATAGACACCCTATCTTCTGCATCATGTCATTTCATCTGTTAGGAATTCCCAAACAGAACCAAACTTAAACTGTGGTACAGTTGTCCTTGTTCCCACAAATCAGTCTAACATTGGCTCAAATTGTATCACTTAGACACAGAGGTGAGAGATCAGGAACTCATTAAGGAAGTAGGACATTTCTAAGATTTTTAACAGAAAACCAACTGATTGAAATTGAGAGGGATCTACCACTAAGACTGTGACCTCTCAAATAACCTGGGAAACTTGAGATGTTTAGAATATCTCACTAAGAAGTGTACCACAGTAAACTCTGGTATTCCTTCAACATGGAGAGAAGGAAGAGATCAAGTTACTAAACTGAGAACTAGAGAGCTAATTTAAAGCTGAGTTCTGTAAGTGATGGGAAGTCAAAAACAATGTTCTCAGATTTTTTTTTTAAATTCAGTTAGAATAAGATTCTCTTTAAAAGTTCATTAACTGGCTGGGCACGATGGCATGTACCTATAATCCCAGCACTCAGGGAGGCAGAGGCAAAGGCAGGTGGATCGCTGTGGGTTTGAGGTCAGCCTGGTCTACAAAGTGTGAACAGGACAGCCAAGGCTACGTAGAGAAACCCTCTCTTGAAAACAAAAACAAACAAAACAAAAAAAAGTTAATTAACTGAACTTCCAAAAATACTCATGTTCAATTTCCTAAGTAAATAAATGTGGGCAAATTTGTCACTAGAGCTAATTAACTTGTAAAGCACAAGGTGAATATGTCCTTTTAAGTGTAGCTTATGGAAAAGACAACAGCTAGCAAGACCCACATCTGTTCTTGCAATGTTAGCTAAGCCCAGATAACACTGATGAAGTATCAGTAAGGACTTCATTCCTAGGGTGATGGAAGAGGGAAAGGTCTGCTTCCCCAGTGTTTCTAGACACCTTGAGATTTACCTTATTTTTAACAATGGTTCAACCCTTAAAATATCATGAAACAGGATATTTAGAAATTCTTCAGGATCTAGGAGAAAATTAAAAAAAAAATTAAGTAAATCACAGGCAAATTTAAAAGCCATTCTATTCTTTATGACAGACATATTTCTACATTGAACTTAATTTCATTCCTTTAATATTATTTCAATTAAAAGTTTAGCTTTTTTCAGTTTCCTAGAAAGGGAAACTTTTACTTAAATGTTATAATAAAATATTACTTTTTCATTTTGTTGTCATGTTGCCCCATTTAATAAAATATACTCATTCACACAAAGTGAAATCAGTTGTATGTCTTTTGGAGGGTTTCAGTAGAATAATATCTGAAATATGTCCTATTTTTCCTTCTATTCAAGTAATTATCCTGTGTGTAACTGTCATAGTTATGTATTTAGTACACTGTTAACAAACTCAGAGTCAGAAGTTGAATCTGAATAAATTCTCAGTTGTGAGTAGATGGAAGTGCTATCCAGCTGTTCCACGGCTCCTTTCAACAAGGAGCCTGAGTGGGAAACTGAATGTCTCAGGACACCCTTCACCACAGGAGGAGAATCAACTCCAAACACCATTGCCGGTGACAGGGACTTTACTTAGCTATCTACTGCAGAGCCAGCCAGCTTCTTAGAGTTCTTTACTTCACATCACATTCACTTCAAAGAGAATCATTTACAAAATCAGGAGAAATCTGCACGTCATATAGAAAAGATTTTTTTTTCATTTAGTTTTGCAGTGCTGGAAATCAAACCCAGGGTCTTGCATACTCTGCCACTGAGTTACATATCCCTAGACTTCTCAAATAATTCTAACTTAAGATTAACCCTCTAAACTAACCAGGCATATTTCAAGAAATAACTCAGCATGCTGTTTACTAGCATTCTCTCAAGTTATTTTCAATGCATATACTATGAATTAAAGGGTCACCTTTTTCTTCAGAGGTAAATCCTGACGCAGCCTCAACTTTTTCAAGTATCTTCCTCAGTTTCATAATCTTTGTGGCACACACATATCCATATCTATGTCAATAAAAATGGATTAACTGACACTGGCACTGGGAATTCTGACACATCTTAATAATCAAATACTTTTCTGTATAATTCTAACATGTGAAACAAATCAATAGACAAGGCAGTTATTTTTAAGAATACAATTATAGGCTTCTTACTAAACTTTGAAAAGTGAAAGACTGAGAAGCAGAATTGTTCTCAGATACTATTAAACACCTGAAAAAAAAAATACTACCACGAACTAAGTATTTTAAAAGTCTTGGTGAATGGCTTTGAAATAATATTTGCTTACTACATTAAAATGCTTGTTTATAAGATGGAATATTCAAATTTTAGGAAGTCCCTTTAATATGCAGGAAAAGAGACATGGAAAAGGAAATTGATAAGATATTGAAAATCTAAAGTCTGTAATCAGACCAGTCAAAATAATTATGATATTGTCTTTAACTATAAAGGACCACGGGCTTAAGGAGGCAAGTCAGAGCCAGCTAATAACTAACTGCATTCCTGCTTTTTAGAGTGACTATTCACTCATTAGCTCTTTGCAATCAGCATACACTAAACTACCACTTATATAATAATATAATGTGTTGGCCACTGGGAATACAAAATGAGAAGGTTAAAAGAACAAACCAACAAACAAACCAACAACAACAACAAAACTAGGGTCTCTGCTTTTGGGAAGCTTCAATAAAGCAACACCCCTGTCCAAACACCAGATATAAAGTTTGCAGACACCAGAAGTAGATCTCATATTTCTGAGCTCAAGTGATTTTGCTTTTGCCTCTTGAGCTATGACGTGCTGAGATTACAGGGGTATACCACCATGTCTGGCAAGATACATCTTGATCTCACGGGCCATTGACAAGTTTCTTAGTGTAGAGTAGGTGACAAAGTATGATAACAACGATCTTGGGCTTGGACAATAGTATGCAAAGAATACTAAGTCTATTACTGAAGACTTACAGTGTCTTAAAAAGAAGGGAGTCTGTGATAATATACCTTGTAGTCGATTTGACCTGTATTGTTCTAGTGTCATTTATATAAGGAACAAAATCTGAATGTTTAAAATTTGCATAAGACAAAATAATGTGAAAATCAAAGCACATAATTATTTTAAAGGGTAACAGGATTATAGAATTTAAGGAAAACAAGTATCTAAATAGAGAAATTTATTCTTTTAATTTACTTTCTTAGTTATGTGCCACAGTGAGTCATTTGGAATATTACTTATATTTCCATATTTTGTTATTTTTAATATATTAAGTTCAATTTTCTTTTCATTGTTCAGAAAAGTGTATCACAAACTTTAAACTGATCATAATTGGACTTTAACTTGCATGATTTGTTCTCTGTGTTCCTGACCTAGTTGTTTCATGGTCATTGAATGACCTAACGCTTCATCACTTAAACACCTTGTGATGCTATCACACATCGCTGTCATGTACTGAAGTCTTCCCAGATGGTCTTCTGTACATTTACAACTCACCTTAGTAAAGGAGTATAGGAAGACCTAAATATACACTTTTAAACAAACAAAACACCATATTACTATAATATGCATCATCTGTTTCTAGTACAAAGTATTATTACTAACTTGTGGTATATGATACCAAATGGTTCACATCATTTCACAGAATGCACTATGTTATGTACACTGAAATAAAAACAGAAGCAAACTAAAGGTTTTAAAAAGCTATAATTTCATGAGAATTAATTTCTGTTCATTTTTTTTATTACTGAGCATAAATTAACTACACAAGAAAACAACAAACAGCATCAACTAAAGACAAAACATGTCTTCTACTTACATTCTCAGAGGATTAACTATCTCTGTTCTTAGTAGCTCTTGAGTCTCACTATAATATTCCACGTCATTTTTTTCTTTGGGTCTAAGTAACACAGTGTCCAGAGCAGAACTAAAAGCAAATAAGCTGCAAAATAAAAACAACATTTCCACTCATGATATAAACATATTGATATTTGAGAAATATTCTTAAAGGAGTCAAAAGAAGAAAGAAAACAAAGTGGAGGGAACCAACGGCATAAGAATATATGTATCACACAGTACAGGCCCTGTGTTCAGCCATTAGTGCCCAGAGACCCTGCAGGTACAGACCACAAACACCAGAATGCAGCACGTATATGAAGGGTAAAAACATGTCAAGGAATATTACTAAAGAAACTTGTTTGCAATAACCTAAGAAAGGCCTAAAATCAGTCATACACACAGACAACATGGGGGGGAAAGTTGGAGCCCACTAGTCAGGACAAATACATCTTGATATCATAAGACATGTACTTCCTTTAATAACTTGTAAATGACCAGCAGCAGAAACTTCCTGGCATCAAAGAAAATAACATTTGGCAAAAATATATATTTTATCAGAAATCTAAGGAATATTATAGCAGTGCTATAAGGTTTGTTCATTTAATCAAAAGTGTTCCAACAACAAAAAGGCCCACAGCCTTTACTCTGTTTACTTTAAAATTCTAACATCCACGCTAACTCCCTAGCTCTTGTGGCACAGAGCAGAGCTGGTAGAGCCACTTAGTTTAACTGGCATGGCAGTGTACAACCCTTAAAGCTATAGAGTCTCAGTTTGGTTCAATCTTCAGAGCTTAATGCTCCTTGTTGTATTAACTTGTTCCAATTTAGAGAAAACTACACAAAGAGGAACAGTGATTCCATGGGAAACAATTTTTAACATAAAGAATTTATGATCATCTCCACATATGAAAATGTATACAACATAAAATGCCAATAGTTTACTATTAGTTACTTGGCACATTGGAAGCAGATGCCCTCAGTGTATCTGCTCACAGGGATCACTGCTTTTATTCATTAGTCACTGCAGTGTTTTTCTATTAGTTTTTTGAATCTAGGATTAAGATGAAATTCTTTAGTTGCCAAGGACCAAATCTCATGATCTTTCCTAACTCCCAGTCAGTTTTTCTACTCAAAGGTACCTGGTACCTCCTTTCATATACACACATATATACCTGTCTCCCTTCCCCCACATAAAGCACTATCTACTGCAGAAAATATGAACTTACCAGAATAAAGTTGAGTCTAAATAACAAGAATTGTAATGGCCCTGGATGCCTTTCTTCTTTCCAATCATTATCTCTAAACCTTCCTTTTCCATTTTTGGTGGAGTATTTTCTTCTACTACTTCACTTAAGTAGCCTCCAAATGCTGAAAAGATAAAAAAAATAAAAATAAATCATTTAAACCATGAGAGCATACATTCATATACATGTGCATATGTATATATCATCATGTATAATATATTTTGGCATCCTGTGCAAATTTTTTCAACTTTCAGTTAATTGCTTTTTATCTGGGCTTCCTCATGGGGGCTTACAGAGACTGAGATATTAACATGCATCATCGTCTGGACCTAGGCCCCCTGCACATTTGTGGCCAATGGGTGGCTTTGTCTTCATATGTGGAGTCAGGCGAGTGGAGAGGGAGGCTGTTTCTAATATAGACTCTGCCTGCTTTTGGATCACTTCCCCTGGCAGTGCTGCCTTGCCTGCTCTCAGGGGATGAGGATATGCTCAGTCTTTATGTGACTTGATGTGCTGGAGAGGGCTGATACTAGGGGAGGGAGCTCCCCTTTTCTGGGGGGAAAGGGAGAGGGAAAGGGAAAAGAAGGGAAAAGGGTAAAGATACTGGGAAGAGAAGAGGGAGAAGGCACCCTTGGAATGAAAAGTAAATAAACTGAAATAATAAAAAAATAAATAAATAATGCTATTATTAATTTTCAACATTATTATTCACTTTCAACATTACTTCCTTCATATAGTTTAGAAAATTAAGTCAGTAAAACACCTGTCAAATAAATATTTTTGTTACTTGTCCAAAATGTTTCATTTTCAAGTGTGAAAAGAAAACGAAAATTTCCAAAGTACTCTTTAACATTAATACAAATGGCTTTCATATGGATGATTTCCCTATGTGCCCCTACTTGACTCTCACTATTGTTCAGAACTGGGAAAGGCCAGCATCAGCAAGCTGATGACAAGTAATGAGAAGAACTGTCCTCCATCTGTGAAGCTGACTGTGTCAGTCCCTAGACTGTATCAGATTTCTTCATAAGACATCCTAGGAGAACGAGGTACTTAAATAAGATGGTGAGGGGGTAGTTGATGCTAAAAGGGTCACATTTTCATTTCTACCACCTACACTGCCAAAAATTAAATGTCTATAATCACTAGAAGACAAGAAAAAAACAAACTACAACTTTCACTCTTTAGATCCGAAACACTTATCCTGACTAAGACTTTTTTAATGTATCTCCTCTTAGGACAACTTTCTTATGAACCAAGTAACAATCTTTACCAACTTAGAACCTGTTGTACATTGGCAAGCAAATCATTTAAACACTGTCACCCTCAGATACTGAAAAGCAACATGAAATAGTCACTCCAGATGGGTAAATAATTAAAAATATCCGAGTACCTAAAGAGTTACACCTTTCAATCTGATTGGAAACAGGCTGCAAGGACGCAAACCTAGAGTCAGGTCTGCAGCTCTTCAGTTTCACGAACAGCGCCTTCTTCAGGGCACAGGTGAAATAGCGTGTGCCCCTGAAAGTTCCATCTGTACAGCCTGCACATTCATCTTCCTGAAAAAGAAAGGCTTCAGTATGTGTTACACTGTACCTCGCAGAAGGAGCAGGAAGAACTATTGCATTTACACTTTTTTCTGAATTCCTTCTTCACATCTGTACTAACTAGAACAGCACCAAGGAAAGAAAACTAACTATGCTTTGGCTCTCAGCTAGTGGTTTAAGAAAATAATTCTTAGCCCACCAGGAAGTACTTGATCTATTTCCTTTCAAAATATGTACTTAGAACTTCCCTGTTTACTGACTTTCTCTGATCCATTTCAAAAGTATTAAGACCAAGAGGCAGGAGGAGACAGAGTAATTTATCTAGTTCCTCACCAGCAAGAACACAGTGAAAAACAAATTAAACAAAACCCACATTTAGGTAATAGCTAAATTTACTTAGGATCTCCATCCAGATTATGAAAAATCACACAACATGCTTCTCTACTCTTCACAGGGAAAACCTTTCCTTCTACCAAAAAACCTCCAAACATGACGACTAACTGTAAAGTCAATCACATCCCTGAACTGACTGTGATAGGAGGAGGCTGAGGAATAAAAAAAGCCGATAAATACTTTGTTTGCTGCATTATGTTTAATATAAGTAAGCTAAATATTCTAGCCTAAAAATCAATCTACTCCTTGACCACAGACAAACAAACATGAGGAGAAAGTGAGCCTGAAGCTTACAGAATGAAAAAGGGTGAAGCTAGGAAATATGGTAAAAAAATTTTCTCTACTATTGACTTTAAAAAATATTTATTTATATAAATATTATATACATGTACATATATATAATATTTCTCAAGAAATTGTCTAATAGTGGAAAACCTAGGCAAAACTTCATGCAAGAAAGAGTTGTAGATTTTAGACCAAATTCAATTACCAGTTCCAGTCCAGCTAGCACGTCACTGAGCCCTGGTGGCTGGCCAATCCAACGGATAACCCCATAGAACGGGGGGTTCTCTTTCACTTCAGCCAGTGAGCCCACCTCTAGACCGTGTGCATTACCAGAAGAGATGGGCAAGGGTAGACTCTCCTGGACAGGTGTGCTGTTCAGCTCCCCCATCACAGACTGTACTGACAGTGAGAGTGGACTATGAGCAATGGTGCCATTAGTATTGGGCATCTTTGTCAGGCTGAAGGGTAAAGAGTGAAATCTGTTTTCGCTGGATAAGGAGTTCATGGAAGGAGGTTGTGGTGGAGGTGATGAATGTCCAAAGTCTGGAGACATCTCTGTAAGTGACTTTGCAGGGTCTTCTGCAACTATGAAAAATTGTTCTTAATTAGAACATTGTTCAAGAACATTAAATATGTGTGCACATCTAAAAACAGTAAAAGGTCTTGTCTAACTTGACTCCTTTACAAGTCTGCTCACAAGCACCATAAACTTACTAGATATGAATAATGTTCTTGTTTCTCTTCTTTACCTCCAAACTTTTCTGTCTCACTAAGCTGGCACCCAACTGCTCAGCTCTGTCTAGTCAGTATCACAAGGGTTATATTCTTTGCCCATAAAATGATTAAGTTAGAAATCAGTATGAACAGATATAAAAAAAAAAAAAAAAAACTAAGTAGCAATGCTAAATGGATCAAAGGAAAAATAATATGTTTTTTAAAATAAAGAAAAGCCATGGTGTGATTCTATCCTGCATGTCTATTCTAAGGAACAGTAGGCACCTCATGGAAGATTTGATGGATATGGACATGAGCCCTCTTTGGCCTCAGAACTACCTTTTCAGTTGTGAACTAAAGTTTGACAAAGATTATCTTTTTAAAGTGGATAATGATGAAAATGAGCACCAGTCATCATTAAGAATAGCCAGTTTAGGAGCAGGGACAAAAAGATGAATCACACATTGTAGAAGCAGAAGCAATGAACTATGAAGGCAGTCCAATTAAAGCAACACTGAAAATGTCTGTACAAGCAGCAGTTTCATTTGGGGGCTTTGAAATAACACCACCTGTGGTCTTAAGGTTGAAGTGTGGTTTAGGGCCTGTGCACAATAGTGACTAATGTGCTGGTGACTGTAGAGGAAGATACAGAGTCAGAAGATGAGGAGAATGTAAAACTCTTAAGTATGTCTGGAAAGTGATCTTCCCGTGGAGGTGATAATAAGGTTCCACAGAAAAAAGAAAAACTTGATGAAGGTGATGAGGACAATGATGAAGATGAAGATGACAATGATAACTTTGATGAGGAGGAAACTGAAGAAAAAGTTCCAGTGAAGAAATTGTATGATATACCCCAGCCAAAATGCACAAAAATCAAGCCAAAATGGAAAAGACTTAACCAAGGACCACTCATGGGGATAACCTAGAACCCCTGCACAGATGTAGCCCATGGCAGTTCAGTGTCCAAGTGGTTCCATACTAATGGGAACAAGAACTGTCTCTGACTTGAACTGATTGGCCTGCTCTGTCACCAACCCCTGATGGGGGAGCAGCCTTACCAGGACACAGAGGAAGACAATGCAGCCACTCCTGACGAGACCTGATAGACTATGATCAGAAGGAAGGGGAGGAAGACCTCCCCTATCAGTGGACTAGGGGAGCGGCATGGGTGGAGGAAGGGGAGGGAGGGTGAGATTGGAAGAGGAAAAGGGAGGGAGCTACAGGGGGGGGGGGGTACAAAGTGAATAGATTGTAATTAATAAAAATTTAAAAATGTATTTCTCAAAAAAAAAAAAAACCCTACCAACACCAAGATTAAAGGGCCCAAGTCCTTAAAAAAACAGGGAGAAAAAAACCCTAAAACATTAAAAGATAATAAGAGAAAAATGCAAGCAGGTATAGAAAAAGGTAGTTCTCTTCTCAAAGTGGAAGCCACGTTCATTGATTATGTGAAGAATTGCTCCTAGAAGACTGACCAGGAGGCTATACAAGATCTCTGGCAGAAGAGGTAATCTCTTTAAGAAAATCATTTAAAATAGTTTGAAATATTCCATCTTACTTCATTTCTGTAATAGCTGATATCTGGCTGTCCTTTTTATAATGCAAAGTGAAAACTTTCCCTATTGTGTTTGATAAATGTTATCCAGGTTCAATTGCCAGAATATGATGTCTAAAATGCTGTTCACTTTTCAAGGATGGAACTCCACCGTGGGCTTGGTTTTAAGTATGTATGGAATCTTATGATAGGACATAGTAACAGTGGTGGTCAGATGTGGAAATGGTAGGGAGACAAATATACATGTGAAATAAACTCAGTAGTTTAATAAAAGTAAAAAAGAAAAAAGAAACCAAAGAATAAAGAACATTTGTGAAACATAGATAAGTAATGTTTATAAAAGAAAATTATTGACAGCTTATTTTAGAAAAAAACAAAAAGCTAGCTATTAATTAACTCAAATATTACTTGGTATACCAGAAAGACAAAACAGAGAACAAAGATTAATGAAAAAGGAAAAAAAAATAAAGAAGCTTAACCAAAGTAAACAGCAAGAAAACAAACTACAATAGAGCCAACTCTCAAAAGTTATTTCCTTGAGTGACTGGCAGGCACACACTGCTTCTCAGCAGGAGAAAATGATCTTTTTTATATTGCTGAGCTATTCAATGATACATTTGTTTAACATCAAAAGCTGGAAAGATGGCTCAGCATTTAAGAGTGCTTATGGCTCTGTTAGAGAACCTGGGTTTGATTCCTTGCACCCACATGGCAGCTTACAATTGTCTGTAACTCCAGTTCCAGGGAATCTGATTCCTTCCTTTAGCCTCTGGGGGCTCCTGCATGCATGAGGTGCACATAAACTCACACAAGTGCAAGCACATTTACACTAGCATGTACACACACATGTGCACATGCACACACACACATTAAATTTTGTTGTTTGGTTGGTTTTGCTTTTTGAAACAGGGTTTCTCTGTGTAGCCCTGGCTATCCTGATTCACTTTGTAGACCAGGCTGGCCTCTAACTCATAGAGATCTGCCTGCCTCTGCCTCTCTGAGTGTTGGGATTACAACAATGCACCACCAATCCCAGCTCACACATTTGTTTAAAAATTAAGCTGAGACTAACAATATAGTAGGGGCTTGTCGGGCATGTGTGAGGCCCTAAGTTCAGTTCCCAACATGACAAAGCAAAAACCAAACAACAAAAACAACCCAATAAACCAGAATCTTATCCACACTCTGTAAAAATCACTTCCAGGCAGCATATAAAACAATGTGACTGCTAACTATATATTATCTAGAATACAATATAAAAAAGTGCTCTTTATGACTTCAAGGAAGAGAGCAATTAGATGTAAGTATATGAACCTGTAAGGGAAAATGACAACTATCATCCGGTTAAAATTAAGAACGTGTTCATGAAAAGTGGTCGTAGCTGAGAGTAGTTTTGAGCTAAAGGAGAGAATGCTTGCAATACATTTTTCTCAGAAGATGAGAACTTCAACAGAAACAGAAAAAAGAAAACAGATGAAATATATGAAAAAGTAAGTCACAGAAAAATAAAAAAACCTCAAGTAACTAGTGAACAAGTGATGTGAAAACCCAAACCAATACAAGGTGTCATTTCAAAAGTTCTGGGTCTTATACACTACTCTCATCTTTAATCAAGAGACTCTTCCCTTTATAGTGAGCAGAGGTGAATATAGAGACTTTGCTACACTTAGAATGTATAACCGCTTGAGTGTTCAGCCTTAAAAGGACATTTATATAACCTCCTCTAAGGCTCAAGGAATACTGCAGAAGAGGAAGTGGAAAGAATGAAAGAGTTGGAAGATAGGAAAACAACATGTGATATTTTTTTTTTAAATTTTTGAAACAGGGTGCCTGTAGCCCAGGCTATCCTCTAAGTTCCTGTATAGTCAAGGATATCCTTGAACTCCAGCTCTCCCTGCCTCTATCTCCCAAATACTGAAATGATAAGTGTGTATCACCATATCCATTTTTTCATCTAAGTCTTTTAGGACCAATATTATTTCATAAAATTATTGAACAATACATCAGATTCTATTACATTAAGAAGTTATGAATATTCTAGTTGTGGTGGTTTGAATAAGAATAGCCCTCATAAGTTCATATATGTGAATGCTCAGTAACCACACAGTAGAACTGTTTGAGAAGAATTAGGAGGTGTGGCCTTACTGGAGTAGGTATGGCACTGTGGGTGGGCTTTGAGGTTTCAAAAGTCCATACCAGGCCCAGTCTCGTTTTTTCTGTGTGCTTTCTACAGATCAGATATAAAACTCTCAGCTACTGTTCCATGACTGACTATTTCCCACCATGATGATCATGGACTAACACTCAAAAACTGTAAGCAAGCCCCCAATTAAATGTTTTCTTTTGTAAGAGTTGCCTTAGTCATAGGGTCTCTTCACAGTAATAGAACAGTAACTAAGACACTAGTATAGTACAAAATGTATATTAATAAAAAGATGAAACTACAGCATAAATTGGAAGAAAGAGCATTGTCTGGTTTATGAAGGCCTCTATTTCCACTAGCTCCTTTTTCTTAGGAGTCAATCAGCACCTTGGAAAGCATCTCTGAAGCAGCTGGGAATGACTGGCATGATCAGTCAGGCTTCTTCAGTCATCCTGGATGGCTTCTGTGCCATCAGTATTTGGAGAGGCCAAAAGTTCTGTCAGGCACTCTCCAGCTGTGAAGCTAGAGGGGTGAGAAATGGTAGTAATCCACTAGGAGACAGGCCCTCCTGAAGGAACACCTTTTAGATACATGTCCTGCTATGTGGGCAAGAGTGAGTTCTCGAGGGAGGCAGGTCATGCTGCCTATGTTCACAAGAGCCCACTCAGTGCAGGAATCAGACGTAGAGAATATCCACTCAAGTCACTTTCCCTAGAAGTGTATATGTAACCTATGTTATGCAACTGCAGATTTTTACTGTGTGTTTTAGCCTATTACTGAATTCATGTGATAATTCATGTGATATTTACACAATATAAATTCATATTTTCATCTACTTTATCAAATCTACTGAATATCAAACACTGTAAAAGCACTACTTACAGAAAAGACAGGCAAGTAACCAAAACCACTTTAAGGATATTTAACCTAACCTAAAAGAGTGGGTGAGAACAGGGAAGGCTTCTGGATAAACTAAAAAGCTTTAGTTTAAGAGGTGAACAGTAGTCAGCCAGACCATTAAACTAGAGAAACTAAAAGGACTTCCAGGCAATTGACCATACACACAAATGAATAGACAGACAGACATACACACACATGTACACATCCACACACCCATACAAGGAAGAAACCCAAGCTTCTTGTCTTATGTCAATTACTTCACTCTATATCCTCAGCACACCCCAATTGAGCCTCTAATGAATTCTTCCCATGACAGAACTAAGGAAATCAATGATTGTAACAGAGTCAAATAAGCTCTATGGGGGCCTCACTTCATGTGTCCTGGTCTGAGAATTCAAGGATGCTGTCTCACTCAATGTACTCTTGACCCAATGGTCATTTCGTTTTCCAAAGCCCCACTGTCAGTTTTCCTTAGACTCCATTAACAACTCATCTTCCTTCCAGCCTAGTCACTGAGTCCTTCAACATTTCAATCCCTGACCCTCCTCCTCACTGTTAACAAAGAACTTTAATACTCTGATGTGAAGACAACCTACAAATTTATTTCTCTAGCTCTTACCTCTCTTCCATGCTCTAAACCTACACATCCAACCCTATTTAATTATTTACCTCTGGGTAGTTTCAAGGACCCCCTCACCACCTACCTCCTGCCATCTAAATACATGACTCAAAAAATCAGGGGTATGCCTTTCTTCCTCAACTTTTATATTGAATTTACCTGTAACTCCTTTCAATTCCCTGTAACAGAATGCCATTTCCAAAAGACAAACCTGGTTATGCCACTCTCTCCATTTTCTTTCAGAGAGAGTATAACTAGGCGACATGGGCCTGACCCTGCTGACTGTTCTCTTTCCTTCTCTGGATCTTTCTAGCCTACTAGGCTCCACTCTTCTTAGGGGACTTTATACTATTTCCATGGCCTAACTTATGATATTCCTCTCACTGAACCATTTCTTTGATGTCCTAGTTAGTTTTCTGTCAATTTGACACAGGGCAGAGTTATTTGGAAAGAGGGACCTTAGTTGAGAAAAGTATTCCATTAGATTGCCTGTGGGTAGTTCTGTAGGGCATTTTTGTGATTAATGATTAATATTAGAAGGTCCAGCCCACTGTGAGTGGGTGCCATCCCTGGGCAGGTACTCCCGAGTTGCATAAGAAAGCATGCTAAGCAAGCCATGAGGAACAAGCCAGGAAGCAGCATTCTTTCATGGCCTCTGCCTCTCCTCCTACCTCCAGGTTCCTGCCTTGAGTTCTCTTGGTGATGAAATGTTACCTGAAAGCATAAGATGAAATAAACCTTTTCTTCCCAAGTTGCTTTTGGTCAGTGCTTTCTCACAGCACTGAGACCTCGTAAACATGGACTGCCCTGTGACCTCTCCAGCACCCTCACAGAACCAAGTCCTGCACTGCACTCAGCAACACTACAATTCCACATATTTGTATCTGATGATGTTCTATCTTAACAAATTGACTACAACTTCAAACATGGTGAGAGCTAAATGTATTTTATTCTCTGTCATAGTAACCTGAGAATGTCTCACGTTTGCTGAACACATGAAGGAAATGAATGAATGTGAGGAAAATGATGTCTAAGAAACAAGGGAAGATAGAGTGTTAAAGGAAGTAAAATAGGTAAGCCTTTAAATGAGTCACTTCATTTCTAGAAACCTTTGATCCTAAGCATATAAATTATGTGATAAGAACTGACTAACACATTTCAAATACATCATCAACCCTAATAGCGAGTAGTTCAAACTACATTTAATATTCTAGTTCAGCAATATTAGCATATTAGCAATGATCTATTTACCGTTTCCAAAAATTCAAAAATATCGATAAAAAGCCATTAAGCCCAAGTATCATTATAAAGAGAAATAAAATTATAGATTACCTTCATCAATGTACCATGGATTTTTGGATTTCGATTGTTGTGAGTCAACAGATGACCCATTTAAGTTATAAAATAATTCAGATCTGTTTCTACTTCCAGGGTCTGAGGTAGAGCCTGTGGAACAAGAAAAGTTCCTTTTTTAAAAAAAGCCAATATAGTGTAAAAAATATTTTATAAATAAATTAATATGCATACAGTAAACCAGCTGCTCACACAACTAACAGACACATACAAACAATGCACTATCTTCAGCTTTTAAATTTTGTTAATTGGTCAATACAGAAGAGAACAGGAGAAAGTTAAAACCTGCTCACTTTTTTATATTAAAGCTCTAAAAAATCATTCCTCAAGCAATGGTAGCCCAGATCTTTGATCCCAGGACTCAGGAGGCAGAGACAAAAGGATCTGAGTTCAAGCCAGCCTGGTCTACAGAGCAAGTTTCAGGACACCCAGAACTACACGGAGAAACCCTGATGAAACAAAGGAAGGGAAGGAGGTAAGGAGAGAAGGAAGGAAGGAAGAAAGGGAGACAAATGGACTCATTCTATGTAATCTTTCTCAATATCAAAATCATCTCCTCTAGTTTCAGTTGGTGAAACTACTGACTCACAAATTTAACCTATTACAGTCATACCATATAAGTGATTCTTAACCTTCCTAATGCTGTAACCTTTTAATACAGTTCCTCATGTTGTAGTAAACCCCAACCATAAAATTATTGCTACTTCATAACTGTAATTTTGCTACTATTATGAATCTAATGTAAATATCTGTGTTTTCCAATGGTCTGAAGCAACCCCCGTGAAAGCATCGTTTGACCCCCCAAAGGGACTACAACCCATGGGGTAAGAACTGCTGCCATATAAAGACATTTCAGTAAACAAAAGAACAAACATGTGCCAGGCGCTATGGCGCACTCCTGTAATCCCAGCACTCAGGGAGGCAGAGGCAGGTAGATGGCTTTGAGTTCAAGGCCAGCCTGGTCTACAAAGTGTGTCTAGAACAACCAAGGATACACAGAGAAATCCTGTCTCAAAAAAAAAAAAAAAAAAAAAACCAGCAATGTTACAGAGCTAGATATACACGAAGTTCTATCACCAAGTTTTATGTCAGTGGTCACAGAAAACTCATGATTATAATTTCCTTTTGGTAATCTTCAAATGCTATATATAAACTGATGAACAAATTAAATTATTTTTCAGGTTTAGGCTCAGTATGTGGCTTAGTAGTAGAGTCCTGGTTTAGTTTGTGAAAGATGGTAGATTTGATTCCAGAACCCAAAAAAAAAAAAAAAACAAAACAGTAACTTCAGTGTCTGAGTGGTGAAGTACTTGTCTAGCCAAGTATAAGGTTCTGTTGACTTTAATCCCCAACACTACAAAAGAAATAATAACTTAAAATTTATTTTAGATTTACTATTTAAACATCTTAGAATTTTATTAAGAAATTTTCTTGCTTCTTAGAGTGTCAAGGGAAGGACCCTTGAGGAACCTCTAGGGCAGCAAACCCTGCACCCTGGGTGAGGATGTGGTGGATTACCCAGCCTGCGTCCACTGACGGCTCTGGCTGTGATGCCCACGACCCAGGTGAAAGGTGGCAACTCCCTCCCCCCACCCCATGCTCATCTCAAGAAGTTCAACTGTGAGAAGCCAGACAAGTTTGAGTCTGGTATCTCAGACATTGCTTGAGTTGGAGATCTAAGGCGTAGCCACAAGAACTCAACATCACCATAGCCAAGAAAATTGAAGTTGGTGATCTGAAAGCTATATTTTTACTATACTGGTTCCTTAGCTGAAATCTTTCCAGAAAATCCAAGTCTGGCTGGTTTGTGAACTGGAGAAAAAGCTCAGTGGGAAGCATATCTAATCTTCACTGCTCAGAGGAGGAGTCTGCCCAAGCCAACTCAGAAAAGCTGAACAAAAAATGAGCAAAAGCGTCCAGAAGTAGCTAGCCCCCTGACAACAGTGCACGAAACCATCCTTGAGGGCATGATCCTCCCAAGTGAGACTGTGGGTAAAAGGACCATGCGGACCTGGCTGGCAGCCAGTTCATAAAGGTTCATTTAGACAAAGGACAGCAGAGCAATGTAGAGCACATGGCCGAACTTTTTTGGGTGTATGTAAAAAGCCCACAAGCAAGGACATTGATTTTGAATTCCAAGCATTTCAATTATGAAGAAAATGACTGAATAAAGTATCTTTCATAGTAAAAGAAACTAAATATTTAAAAATAAATTAATATTTTTAAAAATAAATAAAATTTCTCACTTTCTTCTGTCTGAAAAAAATGAAGCACCATATTTATCACACTTTAGATTTATTATAGGACAAATTATACTAAAGATTAATTATGTGATGTGTCTTTTGTTTTTTGATTGTTTGTTTTGTCAAGACAGAGTTTCTTTGTATAACCATCCTGGCTGTCCTGAACCTCGATTTGTAGAACAGGCTGGCCTCCAACTCACAGAGATCTGCCTACCTCTGCCTCCCAAGTGGTGGAATTAAAGGCGTGCACCACCACTGCTCAGCCAATTATGTGAGTCTAATAGCTAGATGTAAAACAAGCTGAATTCCAAAACACTCAGTAAAAATGTCTCTTCCATAGTCTTCCCCATGTTGCATGTAGAGATCACACAACTCTTTTCTGTTAGCGTCTACACACCTCAAAGATTTGTAACAGTGCAAAAACTACAGTCATGAAGTAGCAACGGCATAATTTTATGGTTGGGGTCACCACAACATAAAGAATTGTATTAAAGGGTCAAAGCATTAGGCTGAGAGCACTGGTTTATAGGGTGACAGTTAAATCAGAAGAAAATATACCTGTATCACAAGCAAGTGCAGATACTTCCCTGCCACAATATTAGCCACAAAGACACACCTCATTGCTGATTACTAGGAGTTCCTCAACCCATACTGAAAGCCAATTGTTTTTTAATTTAAAGTAAAAAGTTCTGCACTTCATAGCTTAAGTCGTACTTCATATGGTACACACTAGCTAGCTACTCAGAAAGCTAAGACAGGAGGATCATCACCAGAGTCCACAAGTATAAAGTAAGCATAGGAAACTTATCAAGACCCTCATCCCCAAACAAGGATTCAATAGCTATTTTATATTTGAGGGTAGTGATCTTGTTGAATCTTTTCTGTGTGTGTGTATGACATGTAGGGGTATGTGCATGTATGTATGTATGTGTGTGTGTGTGTGTGTGTGTGTGTGTGTGTGTGTGTGTGTGTTAGTCCTCAAGAGCCATCATCTTGTTTTTTTTGTTTCTTTTGAAGAGGGCCTCCACTGACCTGAAATTTGCCAATTAAAATAGGAAGGTTGGTTGGTAGTAGTAACAGCTAGCAAATCTCAGGAATCTCCATGTTTCTATGTCCCCAGTGTCAGGTCCAAAGGAAACTTCATTTCTCCAACCCCCCAAAAGCAGTCCTGCACTATATGAGAATTTCTCGTGGTTAGTTAAAAGCCTGCACTCCGCAGGAACTTGTGAAGCTGGTTCCAATCTCTACCAAAAGGAGCAATTTCCTAATCAATGGCAGAAGGGATAAATGGCTATCTGTAGTGCCTATTAGCATACTAAAGTACATGCTGGCCTCTAGACTCCTTCAGTATCACAAGTACCTGTTAAACAGAGCTCATGCTAACATCCTAGTTCTTCTCACTTCCTCCTCTATCCTAATTCCCTCCAGCTCATGCACTTCCCTATTCCCAGCAAGCCATTTGTCCTCTATATAAAGGCAAGGTTTTTCTCCCTGTCCCCACTACTCACTTCTCTTGCAGATAGCCCTGGTCATGTCCAGTCTGTTTCCTTTTCTCTGTGCTCCGGACTCTTTTTCAGATGCCTCCCTCTGGATGTTCTCTCTTATTCACAATAAAAACTTCCCCCCACAACTCATGGGGTGGCCATTTTGTTGGTTTCTTTACTGTATTCTCATAATCATGTACATAAAATTTTAGTTTATATAAAATGTTTGAATAAATTATATATATCCATGTGTGTGTGTATATATATATATATATATACACACACACACACACACACATGGATATATATAATATCCATACATACATAATACCATATAGCTTATTTAACATCTGGAAAAATCAGATATCATGTAAACTATCAAGAATGGCTCCATACCTGTAACCTTTGGTTTATTATGACTAGATGAACTTTTGTCACCAACACCTCTTGACATAAAGGCAAGTTTAGGAGGCCTCCTTTCCTGTGTCATGCTATCTGAAACAGTAAATATACTTTTTAAATATAAACATAATTCATATGGAAGAGAAATAGTTTAATAATCAATGACAACAGCATAAACAAAACAAAGATATCCTTTCCAACAAAAAAAGCTCAATCTTTATAATTATACAGATTCTCTTTAAAGACTCAAAAGCACTGAAAAGTAATTTCTCAGGAAAAAAAAATCAACACTGTAGTTAAAAACATAATTTCTACAAGAAAATAAACTCCTAAATTCATCCAAATGCCTTAACTTTTGAAAAGTTAGTCAGATGTAGTCAATTTTGTTTGATGTTTTTAAAAGCTATAAAGAAAACCTTATTCACAATTTTTGTTGCATTTTCCAAGTCAGCATGCCCAGCACAACCCTACATAGTACAAAGTGTTCTGCACTCAAGAATTTATGAAAGGTGCTGATATAAAGAAAGACAATTTATTTACTACAAAAACTAGAATTTTTACATGGCAGTGCGCCCGGAGACTCTCTAAATGATGTCATATACTAAACTCATTTGATAAAACTTCTTGTGCTCTCTAGCGAGTATCTCAGATTAATGTATTTCACAGACACAGCATGATGACAGCCTGGGTAGGAGACAGGTCAGGGTCAGGAATGCACTCAGTAAATAATAAATATGCTTCCACTTTTAAACACGCACACATTCAGATTAACAGATGTGTATACAAGCACATGTAAAAAAAGAAAGACACAGAAAATTACACACAGATTAATAATGTAGAAAGCCAGAGATATACAACAGTATTTTTTTTTTCTTTGAAGAAAGCACTCTAAGTTTCACTTCGAAGTAAGATACAAAAAAATCTGGCAAACTTTTTTTAGATTCAAAAATATTTCTAAACCTTAAAGCCTGGTCACATTTATACAACACTCAAACACTGATCAAATAAACATGAAAGAGCCAAGGGAAGTTCAACAGCACATCCATGAAGTGCAACACAATGCTGAGGAGCCATACCTGATAACGCTGTTAGCAGAACAAACAGTAGCACCCACAGTGGGATTTTGAGATCAGAAAGAAAAGATAGGAAAATTTTTATATTTTAAACACAGAAAAGGCCATATAAAATTTAAATGGGAGTCATATTGAATTAATTATATATAAATAATGCTTTACATCTTTTTTCCATGGTTGGAAGAGAAAGGAAATATATATTAAACTATATATTTTAAACGTCTCAAAATATAATCAAATGAAATACTAGGATATCATTTCAATTAAAAAATTGTACTAACCATAATTTTAACAAATGATATAATAAAAGAAATACTAAAAATGCTTTTGTAGCATTATATTTAGATATCGATAAACAGTATCTATGACAGTTTTTGTAGGAAAAATAACTCTCTGTCATTGGAGAAAGGTTCCAAATTATAGCATATAAGGTGACTAAAAGAATTACTGCCCACTGTCAATTGTAACCAAGAGTGTGCAACTCCATCTGAAAAAAAAAGATGTTTATTAATCCAAAACAGTTTATAATCCAAAATCACTTGGATCGTAAAGAAAATGAGACTTAATGGCTTAATTTTGAAGAATAGGTAAATATGATCTGGTAAACAGGGTGAGGAACAAATTTAAAGGACAATTTTGTAAGACTGAAATTATCATGATTAAAGATATTCAAGGAAATAATAATTCCACCCAACAGCCCACCAAAATGCACATAGTAACCCTATTCATAATAACTATAGGCTGGAACCAATCTATTCTATAGAACAGATAAACTGATTGAGGCATATAAAATTGTGGTCTGGAGATACAGGTCTGTGGTAGAGCACTTGCCAGCATATTCAAAGCCCTGGGTTCAACCCCTGCACTACAAGAAAACAAAACACTTCTAAGGAATCATTTTCAGAGTTCACCAAAAATGTCGTCTATAAATACAACACCATATTACATAGGAATAAGACGAAGCAAACTGCTGCTTCACACAACAACGTGAACCTGCTGAGCAAAAGAAACCAGACCTCAAGAATACACAGCTTACACACATCAGGACTGCATTCAAAATGATAAAACTGAGAACTTAATTTATGGTTCTGTAAGAAAAAGAAAAGTGTTTTTTGGAGATTCCTGGGCTGAAAATCATAACAATAAAAGAGTGAACAAGTTATTCAACTAAATGTCTGTAAATCTGAATAGCCCATTAAATTGATAGGGGTTTTAAAAATAGTGTATTATTCAACAACAGTCATAGAGCACAATTCAAACCCAAATGAGAACTTAACATGTACCCCCAAAATGAGGGTATTATAAAACCTGATGCCACACATGCTATGCATAGCAATTGACTAAAAAGCTCTATAAGATTAGATGATTAATCAGAATATTTTATATAATGACTGAATATATGTAACAATTATATATATAATAATTTTATATAATAACTGTATATAATGACTGTATCTGTATGGGACCTTACAGAACATCAGACCTGCCTGCTGAGCTCTGGAACTTCAAACCATTCTTCCTTTGGGATCTAACTGTCTCCCATGACCAGAAGTGTTGCCTTAATACAGAAAAAATTCCAGAGTAGGACAACTTGGAGAGACTGAAAGCAGATTCACAGCTGCCAGGGTATACAGAGAAGCTGCTGCTAGGAATAGGTAACAGGGTTTCTACTTAGGATGATGAAACAGTCCTTGAGCTAGATAACAACAGATAAACAATATTCTAAATGCACTTAATACTGCTGAGTTATCTTTGGTCCTTGTGGAGCTCCTATCCTTTCCACATCATACTAACTCCCCTTTCTTTAATATGATTCCCTGCACTCTGCTGAAGGTTTGGTTATGAGTCTTCGTATCTGCTTTGATACACTGCTAGGTAGAGTCTTTCAGGGGCCCTCTGCATGTAGGCTCCTGTCTTGTTACTTGTTTTCTCCTACGTCCAATGCACATCCCATTTGTCTTTCTAAGTGAGGATTGATCATCTTACCCCGTATCCGCTTTCTTGTTTATCTTCTTTAGGTGTATAGATTTCATTATGTTTATCATATCTTATAGGTCTATATAAGTGAGTATATACCATGTTTGTCTTTCTCCTTCTGGGATACTTCACTCAGAATGATCTTTCCTAGATCCCACCATTTGCCTGCAAATTTCATGATTTCCTCGCTTTTGATTGCTGAGTAGTATTCCATTGTGTAAAAATACCACAATTTCTGTATCCATTCCTCCGTTGATGGACATCTGGGTTGGCACAGGGGTCTTTTCTGAGACTGACACTCCACCAAGGACCATGTATGGATATAACCTAGAACCTCTGCTCAGATGTAGCCCGCGGCAGCTCAGTAACCAATTAGTTTCCCATAGTAAGGGGAACAGGGACTATTTCTGACAGGAACTCAATGGCAGGCTCTTTGACCTCCCCACCCCCCAAGGGAGGAGCAGTCCTGCTAGGCCACAGAGGAGGACTTTGCAGCCAGTCCTGAAGATACTTAATAAAACAGGGTCAGATGAAAGGGGAGGAGGTCCTCCCAAAGCAGTGGACTTGGAAAGGGGCAGGGAGGAGATGAGGGAGAGAGGGTTTGGGAGGGAATGAGAGAGCGGGATACAGCTGGGATACAGAGTTAATAACATGTAACTAGTAATAAAAATAAAAATAAATTAAATTAAAAAAATGCTGCTGAGTTATATCTTAATGGAATAACAGTAGTGGTACACGAATTATACTTCATGTTTAAAAACTAAGAAAACTTCCAAATATAAAACTATGTAAAAGTTTCTGCACTTAATCCCAAAAGTGAACCATGTGAAGTAGATGAGAAGACAAGGTAAAGACTAGGAGAAAATATTTGCAAAGCATATTCAACAAAGGGCTAGTATCTAGAATATATTTTTTAAAATTACAAAACAATAAAAAAAAAGAAGTAACTCAATTAGAACCTGGCCAAAACATATAAGAATATATTTTACTAAAGAATATAAACATATAATCACATTAAAAAGATATTCAATATCATGAGCTGTCAAGGAAACAAAACTACAATGGACTATTACCACACATTTCTCAGAAAGGCTAACATGAAAAGCAGCTAGGAGGATACAAAAAGACTGGATCATTTAAATAGTTCCAGTAATCATTTGACACCATCCAGTCACTCTATAAAACAGTGTACCAGTTTCTTTAAAAAGCTTAATATAAAAAATAGTGGTACCCTAGGTGGGTAGATCAAGTTCCTTCTAGAGGCCATTGGTTGTTAAATGAGAACCCCAGTGCCAAGGGTGTGAGCTATTTCCCTTGAGTTGCTGCTCAAGAAGGCTCCTGCAGTCCCCAAAACATCAATTGCCACTGCTATTAGTTACCCACCAGATTTAGATGGTAAGACCTTATTGCTGAAGGTATCACATGCTCTGGTCATAGAGCATACATAAATCAAGCTGCAACTCGGCTGGGACCTTCCTCTCTGCTAACTATCCCTCATAGTTAAGAAATTGTAATGTAGGCTGCTAGGAGAAAAACTGTCATAAAGGGTCTTATTCAGTTATTTACCTGTCTACAACAATGGCCAAGCAAAATGAGCTCACAAGCACAACAGTGGCAAGTCTATTATAAGGGTAACCAACAGTTTCTGATTAGGTTTGGGGCCTATTCTACAGAAGGAACTCATGTTTCATACTGTAAAATCAATCAAAAGTCCATGGGTAAGGAGATCATAAAACCTAGTGCAGACACGCCTGCTACTGTTTTGTTAAATGAACAGGATATGACTCATAAAGTGTCTTCTAAATAACTTACATTTAAGCCCACAGTGTTGCTGTCATTTGTCAAAAGCTTCCTTTTGCAGCAGTCAAAATACTGAGAACAAATTGCTGAGTAACTACAAATGGTGTATCTATATCATCCTTTCCAAGGCTCAGGGAACATTCAGAAAAAAGGGTGGAAAGCATATAAGAGCAGAAAGAAGTAGAGAAGCATGTGGAATGCTGACTTCTTGGTCGTTGCACTCTTGAACTTACAACAGCTATG